GCAAGGGTTGACTCGTGGAGCTGTCTTTCGGTTAGACTGTGGGAGCTGACCTCGGTGTTGGTGATGGAAAGAATGATGCACAGGGCCAGTAATTGATGGTGGTTGTAGGTCGCCGTCCGCTTGGGTAACTGATGCAGGGAGATGACATTGTTCTATGTCGGAGGCCATAGTAGCAAACCTCAAACGGCAGGTCAGTGAAAAGGGAGCCATATGCCGGTCTTGCCAAATCAACGCGTGGGATTACGGGAGTGACTGAAAGATGAGGGGTGCCATCTGGGACGAATAGAGGCTTCGGTTTCCTGACACGATGGCGCTGGTTCGGTGGACAAGCTCCAGGTCACTTCGGGAAATGTTCGTCAACAGAGACGTGGGTGGCATTGGAAAAGTACCTGGTTATGGTCGGGAGGTTCAGTCCGATGAGCTTGGACGAGGTGTGGTGGTGGAGGGGGCAAGATCAGTGAATAACTGATACTCATGCCCTTGGAAGGTAAGCAGTGTTTGGGAGGCCTTGGCTCGGGCCGCTGCCAACAGTGATTCCTTCGTGCGGAAGAAGTGGAGTTTTACCAGTATATCTCGTGGTGGACCGTCCACTTTTCTGCGGGTTAGCGTACGATGGATACGGTCTATCTGCAGGCAGTCCGCTGGAAGTTCCGGAGCTAGTTCTTGGAATAGGGCGAGGGCTGTGGCGAACAGGTCTGTGACCTGTTCTGGTAGGCCTCTAATGCGGAGGTTAGATATACGAGATCGATTCTCCATGTCCTCTAGTTTGGAAAGTAGTATTTTGTTGTCATCTCATAAAGTGTCCACTTCTTTCCCCTGATCTGCAAGACCGTGAGAGATATCGTCGCATCTATCTTCAAGGGCCGCTGTGCGGTATCCTATCTCACGTATTTCCTTTAGAAGTCGGTCAGTTATTTGTTTAGAGGTCACCTGCAGTGCCTTTTGTAGCATGGTGTCAAATTGGTGAAGCAGGTTGTTGTGGGATTGCTTTTGGGGTTGTCATGTCCCTCTTCCTCCATGTCACTGCTCGATGCAGATAGTGCTTGTGGAGGTGCCGAGGCCTCAGCGATGGGTTTCCCCATTTGCTGTGATTTCTGGGTTCTGCGCTGCCCGGAATTAGACATGTTGGGTACCGCGATGTGAACCGAGGATAGTATGAAAGTTCTTGGCTGTTGGGGAGTCGTTAGCTCCGTGCTTGTGGAGAATTTGTCAGAGGGAACTGCAGAGCTGTCTCACTCACCGTCTGACATCGACAGCCGCGCGCATGCGCCCCCGCTTTGCTTTGATTTTAATAAAGACTTTATTGCCTTATCTTGGGACTACATGCATTATGCCTTTTAAAAATGGGGGTTTCAAGACAAATTTTTCTCTTGCATTAATGCTTTATACTATCAATCTTTTGGGATCTCAACCACTATTCTGAACCTTTTTTATTAGTAGAGGTGACCAACAGGGTTGTCCCCCTTTTCCGCTTTTTTAAATCTTGGCATTAGAACCACTGGAATCTCATATGGTCCAATCCGGATATCCACAGTGTGGATAGGGGGTGTTTATCTTTTAAAGTTAGCCTGTGGATGGCCTGCCTTTGTCTCTCACTTAACCTATCCTTACTCTTCCTACATTACTTTTGCTCCTTAATAGGTTTTCTATGATATAGGGTGCCAAGTAACAAAAGCAAATCATTGGTCCTTGATGTATATTTCCATGATTCTACAGTAACCCTTGAACACTCCTTTCACTTGCAATGGTCTGATTTCTCCCTTGTTATTTTGTCCTTCTATTTTACAGTGGCTTGCAAAAGTATTCACCCCCTTGGCATTTTTTTCTATTTTGTTGCATTACCACTTGGGATTAAAATTGATCTTTATTTGGATTATATGTAATGGACATACACAAAATAGTCCAAAATGGAGAAGTGAAATCAAGAAAATAATTTGTTTTAAAATTTATAAAAATTAAAAAATGGAAAAGTGGTGCATGCATATATGTAGACCTTTCGTCACCCCGAGACCTCTCATCACCCCGAGAACACCATCCTCACAGTAAATCATGGTGGTGGTAACATCATGCTGTGAGGATGTTTTTCACTGACAGGGACTGGCAAACTGGTCATAGTTGAAAGACTGATGGATGGAGCTAAATACAGGCAAATTCTTGAGGCAAACTTGTTTTAGTCTGCCAGAGATTTGAGACTGGGAAAGAGGTTGTCATCAGGAACAATGGCCCTAAGCATACTGCTAAAGCAACACTTGAGTGGTTTAAGAGGAAACATTTAAATGTCTTGGAATGACCTAGTCAAAGCCAAGATCTCAAACTAATTGAAAAACTGTGGCATGACAAAGATTGCTGTACACCAGCAAAACCCATCCAACTTTAAGGAGCTGAAGCAATTATGAAGAATGGGCAAAATCCCAGTGGCTAGATTTGTCAAGTTTATACAGATGCTGTAATTGATGCAAAAGAAGGTGGCTCTATAAAGTATTTACCTTGGGGGGGGGGGGGAATAGTTATGCACGCTCAAGATTTTGTTTTTTTGTCTTATTTTTTTTTCATATCACAACACAAAATATTTTGCATCTTCAAAGTGGTAGGCATGTTGTGTAAATCAAATGATACAACCACCCCAAAAAAATCAATATTATTTCCAGGTGATAATGCAACAAAATAGGAAAAATTCCAAGGAGAGTGAATAGTTTTGCAAGCCACTGTATAGAGTGTGCATTTTCTAGTGGAATATTGAGCCTACTCACAATGGGTAAACTGGGAAACACATGTTCTGTTACTAATGTAACGTTTGGTAATGTTCAGAAAATTTATTGGACATTGCTTCTATGATTATTCCATGCCTATGAGTGCGCAACAAAGTTTTCTCAATTGACTCTGTAATCCCGTTACTTTGTTAAAAGTTTAATAAAAAATTATTGAAAGTGGTAAAAAAATAAAACATTTGATACTTCTGTTAAAAGTCCAAACCTTCCTGTGCATTCTGCTAGTGTCTTGCTAGTAGCTTGTAGTGATGTGCTTTGTGCATATAATGCTTAGTCGTATGCATGGGGGGGGTGGCAGTGCTCTGCATTGGATCTATGTTGGAGGTAGCATACAGCAAGCTAGCACCTGAAGAGCTAACCTGGAGCCAAGACCTTGTTCTGGTGCCTGACACTCAAGTTTATTTTTTTTAAATTGTGTTGGTGATGAGTTTAATTTATTGGTGTCTTGCATTAAAACAGTAAAAGGACATAAACATATACGTGCACCATTAAAGGTAGAGGTTGGTGCAATATATACAGTTTCCAAGTACTCTGGCACAAATTGGCAAATACAGTATGTTGGACATTTACCTCTATAGTGAGTTGAGACTGCAATGCACACAGAGTGTGTTAGAGCTTTCAAGTAGCTCTTTTGGTACACCAGAAATGCATACTTATATTAGTCAAATTGTTTTGTACTGCTGCTAACCATAGAGGCGAATGACAACAGTCCAATGTTTTCCAACATCAAGGCCTACAATAGGCTGTCCAGTTTGCAAGAAATTTGCACTTTGCAGGGGAGATTTTCCGTTAGTTTAGTGAATGAGGTGAAACTCTGCTGACTTACATCACCCAATTATGTGCAAGCAAAAATACTGTTATTTTTATTTTCCTTGCACATGATTGGGTATTCTTTGCATATATGGCCATAAACTTTTTGGATATTTTGGAAATATGTTAAGCTACAAAAGTGCCATGGTGTAAAACTACTAAATAGTTATGCACGCTCAAGTTTTTGTTTTTTTGTCTTATTTCTTTTTCATATCACAACACAAAATATTTTGCATCTTCAAAGTGGTAGGCATGTTGTGTAAATCAAATGATACAACCACCCCAAAAAAATCAATATTATTTCCAGGTGATAATGCAACAAAATAGGAAAAATTCCAAGGAGAGTGAATAGTTTTGCAAGCCACTGTATAGAGTGTGCATTTTCTAGTGGAATATTGAGCCTACTCACAATGGGTAAACTGGGAAACACATGTTCTGTTACTAATGTAACGTTTGGTAATGTTCAGAAAATTTATTGGACATTGCTTCTATGATTATTCCATGCCTATGAGTGCGCAACAAAGTTTTCTCAATTGACTCTGTAATCCCGTTACTTTGTTAAAAGTTTAATAAAAAATTATTGAAAGTGGTAAAAAAATAAAACATTTGATACTTCTGTTAAAAGTCCAAACCTTCCTGTGCATTCTGCTAGTGTCTTGCTAGTAGCTTGTAGTGATGTGCTTTGTGCATATAATGCTTAGTCGTATGCATGGGGGGGGTGGCAGTGCTCTGCATTGGATCTATGTTGGAGGTAGCATACAGCAAGCTAGCACCTGAAGAGCTAACCTGGAGCCAAGACCTTGTTCTGGTGCCTGACACTCAAGTTTATTTTTTTTAAATTGTGTTGGTGATGAGTTTAATTTATTGGTGTCTTGCATTAAAACAGTAAAAGGACATAAACATATACGTGCACCATTAAAGGTAGAGGTTGGTGCAATATATACAGTTTCCAAGTACTCTGGCACAAATTGGCAAATACAGTATGTTGGACATTTACCTCTATAGTGAGTTGAGACTGCAATGCACACAGAGTGTGTTAGAGCTTTCAAGTAGCTCTTTTGGTACACCAGAAATGCATACTTATATTAGTCAAATTGTTTTGTACTGCTGCTAACCATAGAGGCGAATGACAACAGTCCAATGTTTTCCAACATCAAGGCCTACAATAGGCTGTCCAGTTTGCAAGAAATTTGCACTTTGCAGGGGAGATTTTCCGTTAGTTTAGTGAATGAGGTGAAACTCTGCTGACTTACATCACCCAATTATGTGCAAGCAAAAATACTGTTATTTTTATTTTCCTTGCACATGATTGGGTATTCTTTGCATATATGGCCATAAACTTTTTGGATATTTTGGAAATATGTTAAGCTACAAAAGTGCCATGGTGTAAAACTACTACTAAATCACATTTTCTTTCTATAGATGCTGTTATCCTTACACTTAACATCCAGTCCACCCAAGCATATAAAGAAATATCAAATTCTGTTGCTTTCCTCAGAGGATCACTACTTCCAGGTAAGTTGACATTAAATGGCTTCCAGAAGTTATGCACAGTAAATGTATTTATAAAAAAAAGTAAAAGACATATAATAGTGATGTAGTTCCACGTGTATATTAGATTGGAATTTAACAGGGATGTTGGTCATGCAGGAGACAGGAGAAATTGAAAATAAAAAATGTTTTTACTCAAGATGATCATATAAGCATACATATGTACTTGTATTTTCCAGTATATACAGTATATGTATATTTTCTTCCACTATTTAAGCTACCAATGGGGGTTTCAACTTTTGCTTGACAAAGTTGCTTATAATGGTGATAAAATGCATTATGGTCTCAGTGGCATAGTTTCCATGCCACATCCCCTAGATTTATCTTATATACAGTACCCTAGGGGCTTGTTCATATCACAAGCATACATTTATTGCATGGTTCTCTGCATTTAACACACGCTACCATGCAATGCACCTACCGTGCATTACCATGTAGGAGGTGCATTGTGTTGCTATTCATTTGAATGTCAGCCCCAAACGTACACCCCACCCACAATCAAAATAGGGGTAGACCTGGAATAATGTTTGGATTTTCTGCCAGGATAAGGACTGCTAATGTGCACATTTATCAAGATATGTATACTTAAAGGAGAATTATGACTTAAGGGCAAATAAAAATACCCCTTACCTTGATTGTAGTAGCATTGTTCCTTTTTTCTAAATTCGCAGCACATCACAGATAAAACCCTCAAAACCTGTAGTAAATGGCCGTCTTCACCCATGCTCCAAGCTCCTTTCCTCTTAGGGGGCGTTAACATTTGATCCAGCCCGCCCACGGCTTTTTTTTCAAATGATCTCATTGATGTGGCCACGCTTCCTCTCATCGTGCACAGCTGTGTTTTGTCAGCTCGTGCACGCAGGCTCATTCCCCTCTCTCTCTCTCTCCATGAACCCCATAGTTCTCCTTTAACATATTTATATGGAGGCACAAGTCATCAACATTATCTGACAGCTTTTTTCAGTGTATAGACTGCAAACTGATTTGCGGATTGAAACACTCCTTGATGAGCTGTTTGTATGCAATCAATTTGATGAATGCTAGATATAATGCTGCACCCACTATAGATTATACAAGTGTTTTATTTAATTACAATGTTGTTACTATAATGAATATATATTCATGTTGGCCCAACATATGCTATCTAATTGGGACTTATAGAAACATATGGTGTAATACCTAGTGATGCTTTTTGCTATGATTACGACTATTATTATGTACAGAATATGTAACAATTTATACTGATCAAGGATTGCCACTTGGTCTGTAAAACATTATTGAAACATATGACATGGTATAATTCAGGAGATGTGAATGACAAATGTATATATATATATATATATATATAATTTTAGTAGTTATGTTTTTTCTAACAAAGCAACAATATTTCTGGAGAATTAAGTTTTTTATGTTTGGAAGGGGCTATCTGAAGCTTTAGCAGATTTCTAGAATCCAGGTTTTTATTGCAGCTGGTGACCCCATTAGGGAGATTCAATCTTAGAAATGGTAATGAGAGTAAAGCGAAGATTTTGAGTTGCCACCAGGCATTGAATGGAAACCTTTTAATGATGTTCTTGTCTCAACTGTTTAAAAGAGGATTTCCCTCACATTGGAAATATATCCACTCACTTCTTCTGGTAAAAAAATTACAGGGTTTTCAACCCTCCCCTACTCTATTCAAAAATTTAAAAAAATAATTTACATATACTTTAAGTTCTAGTCCTCAGCTGCCTTATAAACTTGCAGCACACTATGAATTAAAGTTGAAGTAGATCATAACTGCTGCCAAATTACATTGCCCTTTCCGAATGGCTATTGAAAAGGGCAATAGGACCCGATTGAAACATGGAATGCAAATAAGGCATTAGATACAAACAAACATTTAGGCCACACATCACTGTGATTTTCCTTTACATTCAATGAACTTCATTGAAACCACTGCATGGTTTTTCTACATGATCACTTTTCGGACTGCCGTACAGTCAAAGCCTAATCAAGGTCAGTGGGGGTAAGAATATAACTCACCCCCACCAACCAGCAAAAAAAAACATTCACATCCGGAGGCAATTTGGAAAATAATTATTTGGTGCAGAGCTCCAAAACATCCCAAATTTCTGCCTTTATCTTATTGGCCTGTACCACTGCCAGTCCTGGCTCAGGCAGATTAATTAACTCACCGCTGATTAAATAGACATGTATACAGAACTATGTTTCTTGTCTAATGTTCTTTTTCAACTTAACATATGGTGATTATGTAAAAATCAAGCATTATTCCTGTAATAAAGTACACATTTATTATGTTTATTACTGAAAATGTTTACTAAATAAAATAACAATTGATACTATCTTAGTTGCTGGTGCAATTGGCTGAAAAATTATTCACTCATCAATGACTAGAAAAATTATTTTTAAGTGGCTAAATGTGCAGTGAGGTAGGAAAGCTTTTGTGCATGCAGCAATTTGCATAAATGTTCACTTAGAGGACATTTGTCTCCTAAAATATAAATAGACTTTATTACTCATATGAATATAACTAATATCTACTCTCTAATTATATAACTCCTTCTAATGCATTTTCATGTACACCACTAAATTAGATACTATTCTAATGGTTTACATCGTCACTGTTTTGAGGATATTTATCTTTTTATTGTATTTGATGGTGGAACATGCTTTGAAATATGTTTTTTAGGCAAAAAAGATATTCCATAGTTACCACTTTTTCTACTATATGTTGTTAAAAGAATAAACCAACAAAAAGATATAATTTACCCATCTGGAGCCATTTGTTATTATTATCTGCCCATTTACTTTTAACCTGGTTGTAAGTATAAAATAACATCATGCTAAAACCATGATAGGTTAAAGCAACCACACAACACACAAACCTCACTTGTTCTGGGGGATTGGTCAATCCTTAAGATGACCATACATTAAACAATGTATTGTAAATATCCTCTAGATTTACCATCAACTATGTAGTGCAAGGGCCTGAACATTTGACACTATTTAAATGAATTGTTTAAGTTTGTCCTCATATTACATAGTTTTGGTAAATCTAACTGAGATTGTACCAAGATTGTACAAATATATTAAATCATTTAGGGCTTTAGACTCTGTACTTTGGTCTAAGGACAAACCAACCATGGGTTAGACAAATATTAGGAGGACAGAGAGGGTAACCTGTCAAAAAGCAGTGACCATCAAACAATCTGCAGTTTACTGGGAACTCGGATTGGACCCATTGCAGATCAGTTGGACAGATTATTGGGTGGGGATGGGTAGGGCCCATCTGTCATAGTGCATATTGGCACAAATGACAAAGTTAGTGGAAGATGGGGCATCCCAAAATATTAATTTCAGGAAATAAGGTACCAAGTTGAAGAAACTGACCTCCAAGGTAGTATTTTCTAAAATATTGCCAGTGCCATGAGCCACACTAGAGAGGTAGAGGGAGCTTAGGGAGGTGAACAAGTGGCTTAAAAGCTGGTATAAGGAGAAATATTTTGGGTATACAGAGACCTGGATCATCTTTTTGGTCAACTACTGACTACTGCAGGGACAGTCTGCACCTTAATGGGGAGAAAATGGGGAAAAAGTGTTGAAGGAGCTTTTAAACAAGTGGCTTAAAAGATGGTATAAGGAAGACGGTTTGGGGTATATAGAGAAATTAGTCATCTTTTTGGTCAACAACTGTCTACTACAGGGACAGACTGCACCTTAATGGGGAGGGTGTAGCGCTGTTGGTGGAGAAAATGGCTAAAGGGTTGAAGGAGCTTTTAAACTAGAATCTGGGGGGACCCAAATATAATTTAATGCAACAATCAAAAAACAATGTAAGGAGTCTATCGCTACCAAACTTTAATGTAGGAACAATGAATAATAAAATGCAAGACGATAATATGAAAATGTATGTGCACAAATTCCAAAAGCCTGGAAAATGAAATCGATTAGCTCGAATTGTTAATATTAGAAGAAGATTTTGAGGAGCTATAAACCTGGATGGACTGGTCACAGGACCTGGCTGTCAATATCCAAGGTTACACTCTATTTAGGAGGGGCAGGAGTGATAGAAGGGGAGTATGCCTGTATATCAAGAGCAAGCTCAAGGTGAGTGAGAGGATATTAACATTAAGCGTTATGATGTTGCTGAGTCTCTATGGCTGGAGCTGCGTGCAAGTTCTACAAACATCAAATAATTATGGAAGTATGTCATAGGTGACCCAACAGTAAGGAATATTATGAGGGGAATCAACTTTCACAAATAGAATTAGCGGGGAAACAGGGTAATGTGATTATTATTGGGGACTTCGGCTATCCAGACATTAAATGGACAAATTTACTGAACATTCAATTAAGGCATGTAAGTTCATTAACACATTACATGATCATTTTAAGGGACAAATGACCCAACTAGTAAAAGTGATTTGCTAAAACTGGTGATTTATAATAAAATAAAGCTCATTTGGGATGTGCAAGTAAGGAACAACTTAGGCAATAGTGACCAAACCATTAATACATTTGATGTAAAATAGAGGAGAGAATCGTGGGTACTAACTAAAACTCTAAAACTCTTTTATTCACTAAAGAGCCAAAGGATCCAGCTGTAGCTTTGGCTGATTCTGCGGCTCGCTTCGTTCGCCTCTGCCCTTCTGTTCTGTCGAACCAAAGGGCTGCTGTATGGACTATTCACAATAGCCCGTACAGCCCAGTTGTAATAACAGGTCAGCATCCCCAAATCACCTGGGGACGCTAATCTGTCATTAAACAATAACAACTGGGCAGAGCTGGCCAGCTCCGCCCAGTTGTTATTCATTGGCCGGGACCTGCTAGAAGACTCTGGCAGGTGCTGGCCAATAGAAAACAGTTGGGCGGAGATAGCTCAGATGCTTCACTATGCATCTGGAGCCGGTCGCATGTAGTCGCGTCGGTGTGCAGCATTTTTAAAAATTATTTTTTTATTT